GAGGGGGAGAGAGGGGGGGATAGTCAGTCTAGACATTAACGAGGTTATTGTTTACCCGCGTGATTGTTCGATTGGTCCCAGCCGTGACGTCTATTGTCGCTCTGCGCGCCTGCGCGGGCCCTGAACAACGCCTTTTGTTCACTGTTCCAGGTACCTGTTCTCCACCTCTCTTTATTCCACTTCCTCTCGCTGCCTGTTCGCGCCCCCCCCCCTCCTCCTCCTCCCCTCTCGCGTACGGACGCGATTGTGCTCCCTGGTCGCGGGGGTCTTGAGACACTCGCTGCTATACAAGTGTCTTGAGACACTTGCTGCTATACAAGTGTCTTGTGACACTCGCTGCTATACAAGTGTCCTGAGACACTCGCTGCTATACAAGTGTCTTGAGACACTTGCTGCTCTACATGTGTCTTGAGACACTTGCTGCTATACAAGTGTCTTGAGACACTCGTTGCTATACAAGTGTCTTGAGACACTCGCTGCTATACAAGTGTCTTGAGACACTCGTTGCTATACAAGTGTCTTGAGACACTTGCTGCTATACACGTGTCTTGTGACACTTGCTGCTATACACGTGTCTTGTGACACTTGCTGCTATACAAGTGTCTTGAGACACTCGCTGCTATACAAGTGTCTTGAGACACTGGCTGCTATACAAGTGTCTTGAGACACTCGTTGCTATACAAGTGTCTTGAGACACTCGTTGCTATACAAGTGTCTTGAGACACTCGCTGCTATACACGTGTCTTGTGACACTGGCTGCTATACACGTGTCTTGTGACACTGGCTGCTACAGGTGTCTACACCACACCAGCCTGACACACTGGTCTAGCTGAAGCGTGAGGTATGTGGAAGGGGAGGCGAGGCGTGAGGCAGTGGAGACCCCAGTGTGGAAGGGGAGGCGAGGCGTGAGGCAGTGGAGACCCCAGTGTGGAAGGGGAGGCGAGGCGTGAGGCAGTGGAGACCCCAGTGTGGAAGGGGAGGCGAGGCGTGAGGCAGTGGAGACCCCAGCGTGACAGAGAGAAATCACCCCCATTCCTCACAGGTGACCGGCTGTGTGTGTTGGGTCACCCCCTCTTGTAATTGGTCCTCCGCCACGGTGGGTAGAGGGGTTGAGAGGGGGCAGAGGGGCGGGTAGAATGAGATTGAGGGAGGAAACAAGGAGGATGAGGTAGATTGTGAGAGATAACAGAAGACCTATTAGTCGATATCTTGACATATATTTTCTAAAGGAAAGCGAGAGAGAGAGCTATATTCTGTGTTTCTATCTGGGTAGAGAAGATCAAGATGTGAAAAGCAGAAGGCTCTCCTCACTCTCCAGCTTAACACTGTCGGCAGGCCAAGCAGTATGAGTAAAGCCCAACAGTGTAATGGATACTTGGTTGTAAACACGATTCTTCGTGGGGGTCGTATCCCAGGGAACATAGGATTAAGGACCTGCCCGAAACGCTACGCTTACTAGTGGCTGTACAAAAATGTAACAACTCTTGTATATATAAATAAAATAAAAATGTGGTGACGAACCACCTAATCTAACGAAGCACCACTTATAGGGAATTGACAGGGTAGACAAGAATGGAATATTTAACACGGGTGGTACACGCACAAGGGAACACAGGTGGAAGCTGAGCACCCAAATGAGCCACAGAGACATTAGAAACAACTTTTTCAGTGTCAGAGTGGTTAGTAAATGGAATGCACTAAGAAGTGATGTGGTGGAGGCTGACTCCATACACAGTTTCAAACATAGATATGATGGAACTTGAGAAGCTCAGGAATCTGTACACCAGTAGATTGACGGTTGAAAGGCGGGACCACAGAGCCAGAACTCAACCTCCGGAAGTATAAGAAGAAGTATAAGGAAGTATAAGTATAAGAGGCCAGCCTCTTATAATTAACTATGTTTCAAATTTCTGTGTGTATGTGTGTGTGTGTGTGTGTGTGTGTGTGTGTGTACTCACCTAATTGTGCTTGCGGGGGTTGAGCTCTGGCTCTTTGGTCAATGTGTGTGTGTGTGTGTGTGTGTACTCACCTAATTGTGCTTGCGGGGGTTGAGCTCTGGCTCTTTGGTCCCGCCTCTCAACCGTCAATCTACTGGTGTACAGATCCCTGACCCTCTCAAGTTCCATCATATCTACATTTGAAACTGTGTATGGAGTCAGCCTCCACCACATCACTTACTAGTGCATTCCATTTACTAACTACTCTGACACTGAAAAAGTTCTTTCTGATGTCTCTGTGGCTCATTTGGGTACTCACTCAACTTCCACCTGTGTCCCCTTGTGCGTGTACCACCCGTGTTAAATAATCCATCCATGTCTACCCTTTCAATCCCCTGAGAATTTTGTAGGTCGTGATCATGTCTCCCCGAGCTCTTGTGTCTTCCAGCGACGTGAGGTGCTTTTCACGCAGCCTGTCCTCGTAACTCATGCCTCTTAGTTCTGGGACTAGCCGAGTGGCATACCTCTGGACTTTTTCCAGTTTCGTCTTGTGCTTGACAAGGTACGGGCGATTACCTTTTAGTTTTCTCAGGTTGTGCTCCGCTTCAGGTGATTTCGGTTGACTGTAGATGTGCCTTAGTGTAAGTTTGTGGATTTCGGTTGGTTTTTGGTTAGTTGGTTATGACGGGGGAAAGTCCACTACGGGCTCACCATAGCCCGTGCTACTTGGAACTTTTGTTCCAGGTAGCAAATCTTGAACAACAACAATATGACGGGGTTTAGACACTTGTGCTAAGGTCTTTTCATGAGTTTCTGTGGGAGTTGGTGTAATGTGATCAGCCTCGATTGGTTTTTCTAGGGTTTTCGTTGGGTGGATTTTCCTCCTCTTGGGCTTGGCGGGTATAAGCTACTCTATCCCTTTGAGATGTATTTCTTTCTTATCTCAATAAACATACTTAAACTTGACCGCATTGTGACGTCACTATGTTTTGTTTGATTGGGTTAGATTAGGTTTGTAGGGTAGCTATGACGTAGAAGGGGGGGGGGGAGGCGACATAAAGTTCTCAACTTTTAGACCCCCTACTCTCATTATCTCCTCTTTTGGTTACTCCAACAGATCATCAATTACACGCGTTAAGCACCTGATCCTCGTTTGTGTACTCTCAGATCTTGCTCAAACATGGAAATTAAGCGACCAAACCTCCAGTGACGTCACGAGTGTAAACAAACTTCCCCGAGTAGTGCATTGTGGGAGAGAATGGTCCGAAGAGCCCCGCCATTAGCCTCGCGAGTGTCAATATTGAGCGGGAAAGTTTGTTTACGTGTGTGATATATCATGGTGGGGGTCTTTCTTTCCTTTCTTTTCCATACAAGAATGAACTTTACAGACCGCGAGCCCGAGGACATTAGTGGACCGTAACAGGCATTCTGGGCGATAGCGCGGGGTTTAGTGCCCAGATAAACCATCGTCGCGATGACCTGAAAGGTGAACCACTAAAATTGCGTTCGAAGAATGGGCGTAATGTGAACCGCAAGGGGGAAATGCAAAGGAAATCAAGCAGCGACGGGAAACAAACGAAGCTGTTTATTCCATACGTGTATAAGGTATAGCTCCGTTACGTAGGGGAATGTTACTTGTTACGTGGGGGGTAGGTTACTTGTTATGCGCGGGGGGGGGGGGGGTAGGTTACTTGTTACGTGGAGGTAACAGGTTGCCTGTTACGTGTATAAAATGTTCCGGGTTCGATTCCTGCAGCGGGACAAATATGTTTCCCGACATTCTCTTTCACCTCACCCAACCACATGGGCTGGACGGTAGATCGACGGTCACGCTTCATGCAGGTCGGCGTTCAATCCCCGACCGTCCAAGTGGTTGGACACCATTCCTCCCCCCCCCCCCCCCCCCGTCCCATCCCAAATCCTTATCCTGATTCCTTCCCAGTGCTATATAGCCGTAATGGCTTGGCGCTTTCTCTTGATAGTTTCCTTCCTTCCCTTTCACCTGATGCCTCTGTTTACCTAGTAGTAAATCTAGAAGTTAGAACAATGTTGTGGGGTTGCATCCTGGGGAGGGTCAACGGTTCGACCTTGTAGGGATCTTAATACAAGCCTAAAGTGTGTGTATATATACACACGTTAGGCTTGTGTGTATATATATATATATATATATATATATATATATATATATATATATATATATATATATATATATATATATATATATATATATTATTATATAATATGCCCAGGCTTCCTGTCCTTGACAAAACTAATAAAATTATTATCCAGTTTCATAGCATTTATGTAACTATCGTAGCTGGGAGCAAATTACCACCTGTCACCCACGTGACAGTGTCCTGATGTTCAGCTTTGTCATATAAACTGACACAGACAGTGTTGTAAGTGGACTTAACGACTTGGCCGGGTATCAACTCTTGATACTCGAAGATGGTGACCAATACTGAAGGCAGTTTTCTAGAACGAGACGAACCGTGAAATCTTAAATTTTGAGAATATATGAACTATTTTAGAAACTTTAATGATGTTACCTAGAACTCTATTGACCGCCTTACTACATTACCTAATTGTATTACTGATGGTCAAACGGTGTTGTAACTTGTTTAGTATCGTCGAATTTTGGTAATTGGGGTCCACGTGTAACCCATTACCTGTATCAATCGTGTATAACAACAGGACCGGTTCCAGGACTGGCGCTTGAGGCACCCCGCTTGATACCTCATGAAAAGTTGTCATTGGTGATAATTCCATTACGGATTACACTTGTCGTTCAGAGACGCCGCCTTTAAGCCATTGGTTGGTTCATAATTATTACTAAGAGATTGGTGTCAAACTTGCGTTTTTTTTTTTTGAGATATATACAAGAGTTGTTACATTCTTGTACAGCCACTAGTACGCGTAGCGTTTCGGGCAGGTCCCTGGAATACGATCCCCGCCGCGAAGAATCGTTAAATCGTTTGTTCTTGTAGAACAATAACAGTGTCCTTGGAGAGGAACGCTCTTTACGGTGTGCTCAGAGATGAACCTTCACAACGATATCCTCAGACAGTGGCTACGCTAAAGGTCTCGACACCAAAAGGAGCTACTAGGTCAACTTGCGTCTACCAGAAGGTCAACTTGCGTCTACCAGAAGGTCAACTTGCGTCTACCAGAAGGTCAACTTGCGTCTACCAGAAGGTCAACTTGCGTCTACCAGAAGGTCAACTTGCGTCTACCAGAAGGTCAACTTGCGTCTACCAGGTCAACCGCGTCTACCAGAAGGTCAACCGCGTCTACCAGAAGGTCAACCACACATTTAAGAAAAAAAATTGGTATTAGAGGCAGAGGTTGACATTTACTGTGCAAGTGATCGTCCTCCACATGGTTATAGTTCCCTTGACGCAGAGAGGGACGCTGACTTTGACGCAGAGGGGGACGCTGACTTTGACGCAGAGAGGGACGCTGACTTTGACGCAGAGGGGGACGCTGCCTTTGACGCAGAGGGGGACGCTGCCTTTGACGCAGAGGGGGACGCTGCCTTTGACGCAGAAGGGGACGCTGCCTTTGACGCAGAGGGGGACGCTGCCTTTGACGCAGAGGGGGACGCTGCCTTTGACGCAGAGGGGGACGCTGCCTTTGACGCAGAGGGGGACGCTGACTTTGACGCAGAGGGGGACGCTGACTTTGACGCAGAGGGGGACGCTGACTTTGACGCAGAGGGGGACGCTGACTTTGACGCAGAGGGGGACGCTGACTTTGACGCAGAGGGGGACGCTGACTTTGACGCAGAGGGGGACGCTGACTTTGACGCAGAGAGGGACGCTGACTTTGACGCAGAGGGGGACGCTGACTTTGACGCAGAGGGGGACGCTGACTTTGACGCAGAGGGGGACGCTGACTTTGACGCAGAGGGGGACGCTGACTTTGACGCAGAGGGGGACGCTGACTTTGACGCAGAGAGGGACGCTGACTTTGACGCAGAGAGGGACGCTGACTTTGACGCAGAGAGGGACGCTGGCTTTGACGCAGAGAGGGACGCTGACTTTGACGCAGAGAAGGACGCTGACTTTGACGCAGAGGGGGACGCTGACTTTGACGCAGAGGGGGACGCTGACTTTGACGCAGAGGGGGACGCTGACTTTGACGCAGAGAGGGACGCTGACTTTGACGCAAAGGGGGGGGAGGCTGACTTTGACGCAGAGGGGGGAATCTGAGTGGGATTCCAAAAGCCTTTGCTCGCCCAATACAACCATCAAACAAGCTAACTCTTTGATGCTAACTTTTCCGTGAAATCATCAAATAGAACTCATCACTGGCGTGATGGCTACAAACGCGTGTGCTACTAGCACTTAAAATTGTTTTTGTTTTAATGTATAATGACGACACACTCATTTGCGTAGCATGAACGTTTATAGGGAGGATTATTACGCTACGAAACAGCGGTAAGTCACTTTTGTGTTTCTCCGCTATTCTGTAATCTCCGTGTTCTCTCTCTCTCTATATATATATATCCCAATATACCGCTTTTTATATGTTCTCTGATATCTCTGTATCACGATACCCGCGTTTGTACAATTTAGTACCAGATTAGGGGGAGGGGGGGGGGGGTAGAAATAGCGTAAGCTACTCTGTACCTTTGAGATGTAGTTCTTTCTTGTCTCAATAAACATACTTGAACTTGTACCAGATGTACCCGGTGTTGGCCCGAGGGAAAGAACCTGCATCTTCACTACTCGCTCTGTACCTCCTGGGTTACATCTTCACACACACACACACACACACACACACACACACACACACACACACACACACACACACACACACACACAATGACAGGAGTCATTGCTGTAAACAACCGATGCTCGAAAGGCGGGATCCAAGAGTCAATGCTCGATCCTGCAGACACAACTAGGTGAGTACAACTAGGCGAGTACACACACACACACACACACACACACACACGGCAACTAGCACCGTTTATATTCACTACGAAATACCAGAGTTTTGCTAAAGCCTCTGAGGTCCCCCCAGAACCCCGGGTATAAGGAATGTGGTTTCTGTTAATAACTGTACCATGGGAGATTTATTAGAACATCTAACGTATAGCAACTGTTATAAAAAAAGTCATGACTGCCAAAGTAACTAACTAGAACTCAATAGATTTAAACTGACAGGGTATGGAATGTATATAAATATACTGATATAGAAATCACGACTCCAGTATAGCACCGGATGTTGATTATCTGTTTTTTTCCGCATTAAGTCGAATAAATCTACAGGAAGCTACTATGAACACAAGAGGTGCTTGAGCATAGAGCAGCTTTGGGCAAGAAGCCTTGTACTTCCTTATGCGCAACTCGGCCTGAAGGGAGTCTTGCACTAGGCACAATGAATAATACCGTTAAGACTGTTGCTGGGTCGTTCGAAATTAACCTGGGAGAAGGGTTTCCGTTGGCAATGCTCTCAGCACTGTCGAGTGTATACGTTTGACAAATGTGTTTAACAAGTCTAGTTATGGGTCGGTAATAAAGGATTGAATAGTATAGTAAAATGTAAGGATTACGTCTAGTCTATAATTAATTGCAAATAATAAGTTCATTAACTTTATGGCTACTACATTAAACCAAAGGCGGATCCAACAATGTGCGTTGTTTTGCAGATCCACATGACTGACTTCTAATTCACACTAAACACTTATCTTTTCTCTGCCGAATGGTTCCGAGTTTAAATATTATAGGGACACCAAAGTTGATGTAGTACTAACTACAGGTATCCAGGAAATTTGGGATATGCTCAATAATGTTGTTGTATAGACACTATATAAGCGCTCCCAGTCTCCCAAATATCCGCTTAAAAGTGATACACTATCTTGGTGAACAAATCCACAAGGGCCGTGACGAAGATTCGAACCCACGTCTGAGAGCATCCCAGACGCTGCCTTAATCGACTGAGCTACGACATGGTCAAAAGAGTTGAAATCAGAAGTTCTATCTCGGTGGGTTGTGTTGGTACGTAGCTGTGTGTGTGATCTCTGGTCAGTCAGTCAATTCTCCAGGAAGGCGAGCAGGAAAGTTTGCCCAACGTGCAAACAGTTCACAAACAGAACAGTTCTCGGCTCAAACCCAAGCTGGTACTTAACAAAACAATTAACAGATGCGTTGGTTCTTACAACACAACAAATCGGCAAATCCCGTACACGGGGGGGGGGGGCGCACGGTGACGCGAAGCCTTGTCTGAACGACCTGGACGCTGAACTGATTGGTGACCAACGGTACGTGTGCAACTTGTTCAAAAATATCTAGTTTTCTATCCGCCAGACTCGATAGGTTAGACGGGATGATTGGCTCCGTCCATTTCTCGATTGGTTAGCAGGTTGGATTTTTGACGGGAGTGGCAAATGAAGAGTGGCAGATCCGTACACAGACAGACAGACAGGTGGCGATGGTAGGGGGCAAGACAGGCAGGGGGGCGAGCAAGAGGACCTTGGAGCTCATCTCTCTCACTGTCCGCAGGTCCTCCCTCGACATAGTGGCTGACACACTGTAGAATTTACGGTGTAATTTTATTGTGAACAAAATTCCAAAGCTGAATATTTTTGTGTAGGGTTTTCTCCCACTTCCTTTATTCTGACTTTTGGTGAATGTTTTTTTCCCTAAGCGTTTTAGTTTGCAGTTGCATGTAACTAGAGATAGCAAGATGCAAATCGGTAAAACACGAAGTTGCGTGTGGACGAGTTTGGACAAAAGCGCTCCAAGATTCGTTTTGTGTGCTGAAGACATCATGTCTTGAAAGACATCTTCCAAGACAGCTTGGGGAATTATGCCGAGTGGCGGGAAGATTGGGTTAGATGGAGGAAGGTAAGATAACGTAATTATGAGGAGAAAATACCAAGCCATTACGACTATATAGCACTTGGAAGGGGGTCAGGATAAGGATTTGGAATGGGACGGAGGGAAAGGAATAGTGCCCAACCACTTCGACGGTTGGGGATTGAACGCCAACCGGCATGAAGCGAGACCGTCGCTCTACCGTCCAACCCAAGTGATTGGGCCTAGATGGAGGGAGTCACCTGTCTGTGTGGGGGTTTCGGCTGTGAAAGGGAGGGGGGGGGGGTTACTGGCTGTGAATGTAGATGTTGCTGGGATGTAGGGGTTGTGGGGGTTGCCGGGTTGTAGGTGTAGGGTTGTCGAATTTAAGAGGCTGGGGTTGTTGTAGGTTTAGAGTGTAGATTAGAGGTCTTTTATGTGTATGTGTGAAAAAGTGAGTGAGGACTAGGGTGCACATTACCCTTATTTTGAAATTCAAGTATAATATTATACATTATATACATTTATAACAAAGAATACTTTAAAAAATGAAATTGAAATTAAAAAGGAAATTTTTTAAAGAATACTTTAAAAAATGGCTTAGATGATGTAGTTGATGATGGCCTGACGGGCGCTAGGCTCCTAGGGCGCGTGGTAAGGGTATTATTATTATTATTATTATTATTATTATTATTATTATTATTATTAATATGATTCTTATTATTTCCATGGGCTGATGTCTCCTGCTTCCACACCAGCCTGTGAAGGGGGCTGATGTCTCCTGCTTCCACACCAGCCTGTGAAGGGGGCTGATGTCTCCTGCTTCCACACCAGCCTGTGAAGGGGGCTGATGTCTCCTGCTTCCACACCAGCCTGTGAAGGGGGCTGATGTCTCCTGCTTCCACACCAGCCTGTGAAGGAAGTCCACATTAAATGTATGTACGAAATTTGAGTCCAGGACCGGACCGAAACGTCGTCGTCTCTTTAATTTCTAGTGTGTGGTTTGGTCAACATTTCTGAGCCACGTTATTGTGACTTTTCATCTGCAAACGAATTTTTGAGATTAAAAATTAAAAATTAAAATTTGGATTAAAAAAATTTGAGATTAAAAATTTGAGATTAAAAATTTTTGAGATTAAATTTGAAGTGCAGTAGAGGTACTGGTCAGTTTTTTTTAGTATATCCTAGGCTAACTTATTTAAGTTTAGTTCAACAACGTATATTTTTCTGCTGTATTCGTTAGATTAAAAAATATAATAATATATTTAGTAATATCATAAATTCTGATCCATTATCTACAATGATTGGCTTACCAAAGGAGTGGGTAAGTGTTAATAGGATCGTCTGGCTGAGCTGTAACAAAAACAGGATTAATGGCATGGATAACGCGGATCCACCCTTATGTTACCACAAACCACTTTTATAGTGAAGTTGATGCAGGCGAGGAGTCACAATAACGTGGCTGAAGAATGTTGACCAGATCACACACTAGAAGGTGAAGGGACGACGACGTTTCGGTCCGTCCTGGACCATTCTCAAGTCGATTGTGAATGTGAATGGACTTCTCAAGTCCATTCACAGTCGACTTGAGAATGGTCCAGGACGGACCGAAACGTCGTCGTCCCTTCAATTTCTAGTGTGTGGTCTGGTCAACTAATGTATGTTGTTGTTGCTCTTATAAAGTTGGGTGAAGCAGGTCACGTGTCCTTATAGTGACTACGTTTATACTCTCTGACTGGCTTGTTTTCTCACTTGTTCATGCCCGTGAGTGGTTGTCTTAATCACTCGGCTCGTTCGTGAGCCAGCCCGTCCTCCTAAGGTTTCCCAACACCAAGAAACTATCGTACTAAAGTGCCCTTATCCTAACCTACCAGAGGACCCAAAACAGAAAACGTGAATTTCTCGAGCCGCTACCATTTAATAGTACGACAGTTTTTGGCCTTAGGTAGAATATACGTCAAAATGTGACGTGGTATTAAGAGCACGGAATGGAACGAGGTAGTTGGCTGTAGTCCAGGGTTAACCATGCACGGTTAGAGAAAACGATTTTCCTTCTCACTATTCCCAAATTATCTAATAAACTATAATATTATAGTTTATTAGCTAATTCTATTATAATATAATATTATAATAGAGGTGTTAATATAGTCTAACTATATATAACTGTCTCTTTTGGGATTACATTCTCTTGCTTATCAATTAGTATTACTAAAAGATGTAGATTTTCTCGCGATTTGTTTGTGAGGAGTCCCAGACGGTCCTGACGTCAGGGGTTTGCTGGGGACCTTCTTCTTGAGGTTATCTTGAGATGATTTCGGGGCTTTAGTGTCCCCGCGGCCCGGTCCTCGAACAGGCCTCCACCCCCAGGAAGCAGCCCGTGACAGCTGACTAACACCCAGGTACCTATTTTACTGCTAGGTAACAGGGGCATAGGGTGAAAGAAACTCTGCCCATTGTTTCTCGCCGGCGCCTGGGATCGAACCCAGGACCACAGGATCACAAGTCCAGTGTGCTGTCCGCTCGGCCGACCGGCTTCTCAGCAAAACCTGTGTTGGAGAAAGCCTCGTTGTTGTTGTTTTAGATTTAGCTACTCAGAACGGAATGTCCATGTAGCACGGGCTATGGCGAGCCCGCAAAAGAAAGCCTCGTGACTTGTCTTGACTAAATGTTAACACGCTGGGGTACCCCGCGCCTCTTTAACGATGACAGGGCCTTCTTAGTGTACATCTTTACGCTCCTGTGTTGCAAGACTCGAAGCTCCATTGCAACATAAACAGTTCTACAGAACAACATGAACAAGCGGTGTGCGTTCTCCAGTGCGGTGATTATTCTCGTGATTGCACCTGTCAGTTTTTGATTCTGCGTTGGCCATATTCTCTGTAATGAGCACTGTGTGTGAAGACGCCTGTTAAACACACCTGACATATCAACACACACTCGACAGGTAAAGCAAATACTTGGCTCTGTCTTCCTTCCCACACACACACACACACACACACACAGGGCTAAACTCGTAGCTTTTTTTTTTCTTCGAAGCTGACATTGATGTTAAATATATTGTTGAGTACAGTTGCTTTCATGGCGACTTCTGCGATTTGTTCTCGAGTTATCAGCCATCTCCAGATTCACATTGATGATGTGGCACTAAACGGCATACTATTACCTTGTCAGAGTACACAGCTTTGACCATGGTCAAAAATAGGGGCGTGATGACCAAAAACGAGGCAGTAATGACTAAAAACAAGGAAGTAATGACCAAAACAAGAGGCAAAGCCTGAAAGGTTTTGGACAAATTATCACCACCCAAAGCTAGGGAGGTCTTCGGACTTGAGAAATTGCAATCAACTTGTATTACGTTAGCGCGAGACATCAAAGAAAAGAGAGAGACCAAGTCCTAACAACCTGACACAATATGGGCACCCAATCCCCCCCCTACACCCCCCCCCACACACACACACATACACATACACTACACACACACACACACACACACACACACACACACACACACACACACACACACACACACACACACACACACACACACACACACACACAGGAGGCCAAGACCGTCAGTAGTTTCAAAGCGTTATATGACAAAGAGTGCTGGGAAGACGGGACACCACGAGCGTGGCTCTCATCCTGTAACTACACTTAGGTAATTACACACACACACACACACACACATACATACATATACATACAGGCAAGTGTAGACGTGTCGGTCCGTCTTCAACCCTTACAAAGTCGTGACTGTAGAGTAGACAGGACGAACCGAGATGTCTTCACTTAGCTTTTCGTACGTGGACGAAAGGGGGGTGGGGTGGTGGGGGGTTGCATAAAGGGTAAGGGAGCCTCATGAATATATTGAGTTCCGGTGGTATTGGCTGACCAGACGTCAGGGTGGGAGGGAGGGAAAATTGAAATTGAAATAAGTTTATTGAGGTAAAATACACACAAAGGGATGAGGTAGCTCAAGCTATTCTCACCCCGTTCAGCACATCGTGTTAATACATGCATATAAACACATCACAAACAATAAACATATTACCAAACATTCTGAGAAGGGAGGGAGGGATTAGGGAAGTCGGTTATCACTCTTGGAATGTACTCAAGTGTGTTAATATTTGTTCAGAATAGACGAAGGAAAATGTCGAGGCTCCTCAAGTTTTTTTCTATCTTCGAGCCTTAAGAAGCGGAAGGTTCACTCATCCTGTGAGTGGACACACCGCCATAGTGACAGTATTGGTCAGCGCCACTCATCCTGTGAGTGGACACACCGCCATAGTGACAGTATTGGGCAGCGCCACTCATCCTGTGAGTGGACACACCCCCATAGTGACAGTATTGGGCAGCGCCACTCATCTTGTGAGTGAACACACCGCCATAGTGACAGTATTGGGCAGCGTCACTCATCCTGTGAGTGGACACACCGCCATAGTGACAGTATTGGGCAGCGCCACTCATCCTGTGAGTGAACACACCGCCATAAGTACTCCGTGATTACTTGTAACCTGGCGAAGCCGCTCTTTACATTTTCCAAGTGCTATATAGTCGTAATGGCTTTGCCCCCCCCCCCCGCCCTCTCTCTCTCCCTCCCCTCTCTCCCTCCCTCCCTCCCTCCCTCCCTCCCTCCCTCCCTCCCTCCCTCCCTCCCCCCCCCCCTCCCAATATTTTTCTCTCTTAATTTTCACTTCGCGTGTTCAGTTCATTTATTTCCTTTCTGTGTTCACTTTTTATTTTCTTCCGTGTTCCTTTCCCTTGTTTCGTTCTTATTGCCGGTGATCTTTGGTCATTCTCCTCTGGCTTTCGTCAGTTTCTTATTCACACTTCTTTCTGCCTTACTTTTTTCCCCCCTTTGTATTTGACATTATCGTTATTTTATCACTTCTTATCCTTCGCTTCCTCCCCTTTTTGTTATCTTTTCCTACTTTTTTCCCCATTCCTCTCCTATCCTTGCCTCTCCCACACTCCCCCTCTCCCACTCTCCTCTCCCATCGTTGCCTCTGATCTAGCGCTATCAACATTCCGGGTGAACCTGCGGTCAGTAATGGCCTCCTGTTTTGTGAGTCGGACTTTGTAGTTTGTACATGGAGTCGTAGCTTGGGGGCCCCTTGGTGTATTGATCTTCCGGCTCCTCCCACGACCACACCTGCGACCACGACCACACCTACGACCACACCTGCTCCCACGACCACACCTACGACCACACCTGCTTCCACGACCACACATGCTCCCACGACCACACATGCTCCCACGACCACACCTGCTCCCACGACCACACCTACGACCACACCTGCTTCCACGACCACACATGCTCCCACGACCACACATGCTCCCACGACCACACCTGCTCCCACGACCACACCTGCTCCCACGACCACCACTCCCACGACCACCACTCCCACGACCAGACCCACGACCACCACTCCCACGACCACCACTCCCACGACCACCACTCCCACGACCAGACCCACGACCACCACTCCCACGACCAGACCCACGACCACCACTCCCACGACCACCACTCCCACGACCAGACCCACGACCACCACTCCCACGACCACCACTCCCACTCCCACACCCACGACCAGACCCACGACCACACCTCCCACGACCACACCTCCCACGACCACCACTCCCACGACCAGACCCACGACCACACCTCCCACGACCACACCTCCCACGACCAGACCCACGACCACACCTCCCACGACCAGACCCACGACCACACCTCCCACGACCAGACCCACGACCACACCTCCCACGACCACCACTCCCACGCGGACATCCCTAATTCTACTGTGAAATAAATTGTCATTTTAAACTCGTTGGTAGAGCTTCAGATATATTTTCCAAGCGAACATTTTTTGTTTAGTATTATATTAACAGTTCATATTATTATTATTTATTATTATTATTGCTCTTTATCGCAACAAATAAGCCAGCCCCGAACGACCCCCACCGCCTACAACCCTTCCCCAACCCCCACCTACAACAACCACTCCTACCTAGTACAACCCTTCACCCAACCCCCCAACCCCTCCACCACGACCCCTACCTATTACAACATTTCCCCCAACGACCCCCCGACCTCCGACAATCCCCACCCCCAACGACCCCTCACAACCCTCCAGCCCTAAACCCCCCCCCAACTACTCGAACCCACAACGCGTCGCCCCTCCTTCCCCTTTTCCCCTATCCCTCCCCCTTCTCCCCTACCCCTCCCCTTCCCTCCTTCCCTCCAAAGAGCTATGAATTGTAACGTGTCTCCAAATGTCACCCAGAGGAATCCAATTAATATTTACGAGAACTATCTAGTTGATGCAGCGTTTGATAAAGATGAAACGTTGAATTTATATACATACCACAACATTGATTCATAATACAACCAATAATACGAATTTATAATGCAAATTGCTGGTACAACTTACAGCACAAATGTATATATTATGCAAACGATTTCGGAAACTTTTGGTTTGCTTGTCAGTCTTGGAGTAATTTGGTGCTGAGCACTACCGGCTGTGTGATCTTCCTCTCAATGGTGTTGGACTGTGTTCACTGGTGTTCAGTAGCGTTCACTGGTGTTCAGAGTTTACTGGTGTTCAGCAGCGTTCACTGGTGTTCAGCAGCGTTTACTGGTGTTATACAGTGTTCATTAGTGTTGGGCAGTGTTCGCTTGAGTCCCCTTCCACTCCACGGCGCCGAAAATCTCCAATGGAAAGGCAAACGCCAGTCACGATTGGTTCCAGCGCCGTCGCAGGAACTGTGAGTTCCGGAGTTGACCTGGAAGTTGATAAAAGAAGGCACAGGGTCTCCAAACCCGGAGACCGCCGTGGTCGGGGCCGGAGAAGAACCACCCCATCAAGGGCATGAACGACCCCAGCCTCCTGAAGCAGAGCCTGGGGAGCCGCACGAGCCCCAGGAGGAGGACGTCCCAGTCCCGCACCTACGGGTTCCTGACAGAGATCGTCACAGCCCTCTTTCAGCCCAGAGATCGGCACAGCCACAGCCCTCTTTCACCCGAGGCCGGCTTCCTTCTGAGAAAGCACTAAGCCGTGTGATTATATGAGACATGAAAGGGACATGAGGATTGGATAGGAGCTGAGATAGGAGAGGGGGGGGGGAATGGAGAGAAATGCTGCCCAACCACTTGTCCCATAGGGGGCTTCGAATGTTGTGGTCAAGATATCTGGCGTCTCAGATGTCTTGATCACCTGCTTCAAACACAGGTGTGTTCGAAGCAGGTGTCTGCTTCAAACACCGAGATGCATACACACACATCCACTTCCGTTGTCCTGTACGTTTGAGAGAGGAGTTTCTAATTTGTTCATTATACAACAATTTAATTATACGCTACACAACAATCTGGGCACAACACGAACGCGGGCTCTGCAAGAAGCATCAAGGCCGTCGCTGTACCAGCCAGTCCAAGCCGCGTATTTTAAAGTGGTTGAAACACTTTATCAGTGGTGGTGGTTCCTGTGAGTGTGGGTCGAGCGCCCTGGCCGCCATTAGTATTCATTACCGCGCACTCTTCAGCCGTCAGCCGCTAACCGCGCGCCATCTGCAGGACAAAGAGTTGTATTATTCCACCAGACGGACGCGAGGGGCGGCACTAATGACATAACAGGTCTTGTTAGACCACTGTTTGCCGATACGATGCATCGTTAATCATTCGCCCCCCAACAGTATTTTGGTTCATAGACAAAAGGTTCCGGGTTCGATTTCCGCCGTAGGACAGAAGCGTTTGGGCAAGGTTTACTTTCACCCCCATGTCTCTTGGCACCTGAGAATTTGGCAGATGTTGTGGGTTGTCTTCTGGGAATGGTCAGTCGGTCGCCAAGGGGAAAATCTAAAAGTCAGACAGGCTTATGGAAAACCATAAGGCTAAAGGTATAGAAGCACTATGATTGAACGATTATTTCAGCACAAAATTGCCTATGCCATTGCATGGCCTCCGAGGACATAGTGAGCGGTTGCATACAGTCACTTTGCCCATCGGGGATCGAACCCCGACCCCTGCAAGAAGCAAGACCTTTACTGTACCGCCTAACCCAAGAGGATGGACAACAGGACATGTGCAGGCGATGAGTCACAATAACGTGGCTGAAGTAGTTTGACCAGACCACACACTAGAAGGTGAAGGGATGACGACGTTTCGGTCCGTCCTGGACCATTCTCAAGTCGATTGTGACAATCGACAATAAAGTCAAGACAATCGACTTGGGAATGGTCCAGGACGGACCGAAACGTCGTCGTCCCTTCGCCTTCTAGTATGTGGTCTGATCAAACAGGACATGTCCCCATAGATGCTAGTCTTTCCGGCTTGGTGCCTCCTTTTGATAATTACGTTCTCCTCATAATTACCTTACCTGCTGCTGCTGCTGCTTTCAGTTGTCAGCCCTAGACAAGTGTCGTGTGGCCTCCACCATACACTGTCTTGACTGCTGTACAAGACACCACAGTACGGGGCCCGCGAGAACACTTGTACACCTGTCAGTTCTTATCTTACCTGCACTTTCCAGCCTGTGATGTGCTTAATGGATCACATCTTATCTCGCACCAGTTGTCTGCTAGGGTGGCGCTCACAACTTGTCTGGGATCAAGACGAGAGCATCTTTAGGGACGGGGGGTCATGTCCAGCCACTTGAGCTGGGTGATACGGTGTATGTCTCGCTTCTTGCAGGGTCGGCGTTCGATCTCCAATCTCGAGTGTGCACCGTTCCTTCACTGTAGCACACGCACAAACTTGCGTGTGCTTTAACCGTTGTTTTGATACCCAAACCAACGACCACCTTAACTGAGGGTAAGTAATCAAAAGGTACCAAACCGGGACGACCTTTAAAATGCAGAGAAATTTGAAGATACTGTACAGGCAAGCCGGGAAGACCTTGTGGCAGAAACGATGTAGGTGAAGGGAAGTGATGATGACTGTAGTAAAGATAGTGTAGTGATGATGGTTATGGATGGTCGGCCTTGTCCGGGTAGTGAAGATGAGTACAGTGATGAAGGTACTGTGTAGTGAAGATGGTTACAGTGATGATCGTGTCTAGTGAAGATGGTTACAGTGATGAGGATGGTCGTGTGTAGTGTATGGATACACTACACAGGGATACAGGGGTTAAGTCAGAGTGGGGAAAAAGGTTGTAAGTGAAGTACCTCAAGGCTCTGTCCTGGGACCTCTGTTATTCATAATATATATAAATAATTTAGATTCAGGTTTGAGCACCAATATTTGCAAATTTGCCGATGATACAAAAATCGTGAGGGGAAATAAACACGGAATAGGCCTATTGGCCCATACGAGGCAGCTCCTATTTATATCCACCCCAATCTCATTCATATATGTCTAACCTACGCTTGAAACAATCAAGGGATCCTACTTTTATTACGTTACGTGGTAATTGGTTCCATAAATCAACAACCCTGTTACCGAACCAGTATTTACCCATACGAACATCATGTCAGTCATATAACTGATAATGACGAAATGTGTAGTACTTCCAACAAACACTTTATCTCTGCATTTACCAAAGGGCGGTTCTCTGCCCGAAACGCTGCGCGTACTAGTGGCTTTACAAGAATGTAATTACTATGCTATGTATCCTCGCAATCCCAATGTACCTTCTTGTATATATATATAAATAAATAAAATACCAAAGAATGGACTGAACACCACGCCCCCAGCCGAACAAGTCTATGTGGGGTAGGGAAGAGGACAGGCTGACCAGGTCATCAGTCACCAGGGAGGATGTTACCAAACAGTGAAACTCAAGCCAAACAAATCCCCAGCACTGAAGGCACTGCCTTCTGTGGTTGAGTGTTCAATAAACCCTTGAACTATATGTTTTAAAACTTCTCTAACCCTGTCCATGGAGGACAGAAGAAAATGTATATATGCTGGTTAGCATTGTAAATGTGTGGCCACGTCTGTGGTAGAAAATAATAAAAAAAAAAAAAAAAAAAATCCCCAGGGCCGGACGAAGTGCCTGCCAGGGTGGCCAATATCAAAGAGGAGCCCGGCGAGCCACCGTCCACCACATGTAACAAATCACCAGAGCCAGGCAGAATGCCAGAGCCGTGAAAGACCGCCAATGTGGCACCACTCGCCAAGGGTTTTAAGGTTAGGTAGTGATGATAGAGTTACAAGATACGAGCTAGGTGGTGTTGAGATTGCGAAGTCGGATTGCGAAAGGGATCTGAGAGTTACGATTAGTAAGAATTTGAAACCCACAAAATCAATGCATAAATGTTCGTAATCAGGCAAATAGGACACTGGGATTTATTAATCGAAGCGTTATTAATAAGACACCTGGTGGTATTCTTCAGCTATGTCTTACTCTGGTTAGGCTGTAACACCATGAAGGTGTTTGGTTTAATATTTTGTAATCAATTAAGTTCAGCGGTTTGTTTCAGCCCATTATGTGCCTCTGTAACCCTTTCCACTACCGCCCACAAGATGGGTATGGGGTGCATAATAAATGAACTAAACTAAACTGTTTCGTGTACTTCGTTGTTACTTTGATCCTTGTATGGGAGGTAAGGTCGGTTTACGGGGCTCGAACGCCGATCATGCAATATACAAGGGCGTGAGCTTACCGTTTTTCTGTAATTTTCTGTTAGTTTGACATTACGTCTATATGGCACTTGGAAGGGATAAGGACTTGGGAGTTGGGGGGGGGGGGAGAAGAAATAGTGCCCAACCACTTGGAGGGTCGGAGATTGAGTGCCGACCTACAAGAAGTGAGACCGTCGCTTTACCGTCCACTTAACGTAATTAATCACTGTTGATTTATAGTCACTGTTGGCG